TTCGCCCTCGAATGTGAATTCAACTTTATCAGTGCATAATAACAATAAATCTTTTAAAAAATTAATAGGGATAGGGAATATAAGACTGTTAGAAGAAATATAGTCACATAAAATATCAATTGTTTTTACTAGAGGTACATTAGTAAATAAAGAATTTACATCGAACGAGTACATAGTCTTATCCTTGATATTAATATCATTTAAACAGTCAATAAGGTCAAATGTATCTTTCAATGAGGACTTACATAAATGGCTTCTGACAGGATTCAAGAGCTTTGCCAACCATTTGGCTAGATTATGTGTGGGTGATCGACACATAGACAATATTGGACGCAGTGGGTTGTCAGGCTTATGAGTTTTAGGTAACCCATATAGATGTGGATGTTCAGATCCCATAGGTTTTAGACGATTAAATTCCTCCTTATTGATTAAATTCATACCAAGCATTTTCACAAGTTTAGAATTTACTCTGCCTTCCAATTTACGTATCCCTCACAGGGGGCATCTGACGTAAATTTGCTTTCATCACTGAGAATAGATAACATCTTACTTTTATAATCAGACGTGTTCATAACGACCACACCTGATCCTTTATCGGGTTTTAGTACGACAATATCAGAGTTATTTCGTAATCCTTTCAGTGCTTGGAAATGCTCACGCGTTAAGATGCTTTTCTGTCTTGGACCAGGATTATGAAACCCATGAGCGATGTCTACTAATTTAGCTCTTAGCCAGTTCTCATTGTCTGGAGAAGTTGGGACAAGTGAGCTCAGTTGATCATACAGGTTTTCAAATTGAGCATCGGTTGTTAAATCAGAGTTTTGTGTTTGAGGGACAGAAAAACTGAACCCAAAGAGAGCGCCTCTTTATAAAAACAGATAACTGAACGGATGATAAATTCGTCACATAGTTGTCTGGGTTAACTGGGAATGAATTCACATGGTCGCTCGTAATCTGAGATTTGTTCAGCTTTGTCGTCATCCTTTCTTTTGCTTTTATTATAACCGAACTGCAAAAATTAACAAACTTGATGTGGCAAACTCAAGAAATTTCCAACAATACGGAAGATACATGTACGTCACGTATTCAATCGCGTATTCAATCTGTCACTAGTCATTATAATTTCATTTCAGTCGGTTCATTGAAAATATCATACAATGAAAGAACAGTATCATTCACTGGACAATGTTTCAGACACAATTTATTATTCATATTCATGTCAATCAGGTAACTAACTCTACAACTTTGAGATAGAGTTCATATAGTCCTAATTACCTCTCCTTCTCTGTGATAATAATAAGGGCAATAGAATTTACCATAAAACTGGGACAACATATGCAGAATCATTCCTGTTACTGAATGTATTTGGTGTTGATTCAATAAACAAAGAGTTGGTGATCAATCCTCTTCCTCCCTTGACCCAAATAAATTAAATTTTAACACTGTCTCTCTATCCTACCCTACTGTGTGACTGATTGTGTATAATTGCGTACAGAGATGTAAGCGACCTTTCTCTAAATTTCTTATCTTATTAGGATCTACTCATCTTGATTTAGCTAAGTTTTTATTCTCTGTTATTCTAATCAACCCTGACTGGTCGATGTATTTGATGTTGTAATCATTGCAAGAGATTTGGTAAACCAGATTATTTTGCTTAATTGCATCAATAGGACAGAGTGATAGGGTTTAAAGAGAATTCAAAGTCTCTACTGTGTTACCCATACAAGAAAAGCATCTCAAAAGCATTACGAAGAATTCTCAATAAGACTGGTTAGGATCAGAGTGGCATTTAAACAAACAAACAAACAAACAAACTCGCTTAGAAACAAGCTTTGTAGATTAAAATATCCTATCGATGCAATTAAACAAACTAATCTGGTTTATCAAATCCCTTGCAAGGTCAAGTACATAGGTGAGTCAAAGTAGTTGACCAGTCAGTCAAGATTAGTAGATTATAATAAGATAAGAAATTTAGAAAGAAAACCTCAACTGTAGCCGTGCACGCAATTACACACAATCAGTCACACAGTAGGGTGGGATAGAGAGACATTGTTAAAATTTAATTTATTTGGGTCAAGGGAGGAAGAGGATTGATCACCAACTCTTTGTTTATTGAATCAACACCAAATACATTCAGTAACAGGAATGATTCTGCATATGTTGTCCCAGTTTTATGGTAAATTCTACTGACCTTATTATCACAGAGAAGGAGAGGTAATTAGGACTATATGAACTCTATCTCAAAGTTGTAGAGTTAGTTACCTGATTGACATGAATATGAATAATAAATTGTGTCTGAAACATTGTCCGGTGAATGATACTGTTCTTTCACTGTGTAATATTTCTAATAAACAAAAGAAAATGGAATTACAATCTATTACAGTGCTCTACTTATAGTCCTATACGTTTAGTATGATCAAATTAAGTTTATAGGCAGCCACTATTGAAGAAGAAAATATCCTCGTGGTTAAGTAAAGAGAAGTGATATAGAAAGTGTTGTTTTATTCTCTCTCTAGGTAGTTGTACTCGCTTAGCTGTCAATTACATAATATGGTCACCTTTAAATAGTAGGCTTGATAAAGATTACTTGCTTTGTTACCATAGCTGTCTTCTTGATGTATAGCATTGGTCATTATTATTTAGCATATGACCAATTTGTTTAGATAACTCCTCACTTTGTAAACTTCAACCTATTTCATCATTCAGTATATATAAATACGAAATCTTGCCTAAATAGACATTTAATTGAAGAAACGTGAGAATTGGTTAGGTTTAATGAGATCGGTGGATGATAACAGCACAATAATTATTAATTGACAATGGAATAACGCATCACTTCATAAATATTTGAGAAGAAATATTATGGAATATGAACAAATGATGTGGAAGGTTACTTTTTTATCCGGGGATCCACGTTTTGTAAATAGGTTCAAAGGTTGCAGAAACAACAATCCTGTGGTCTGTCTCCACGATATGTTTCACAATCGAGCAGCTTGAATATCTGTCAAGGAGTGGATACATGTGTGCCATTGTGACTGATCGATTGGCAGTCATTTCAGCAAGAGTCAGTCCTCAACCACGGATTCCTATAATCTTGAGAAACCCAACCAAACAGTCTAAATCTCCTGAGATGGCTCAGAGCAACAGTGAGAGACTGATACTGCGTCTTGATTTGACTACCTTTAACCCCTTTCCAACCGAATGCAAGTTTACCTAGCATGACACGTTGATGTTGATGTAAGCAGTGGATCAGCATGCGCAGTACATGTTGGAACCATCTCATTCACTGAAGATTCACAATCTCATCGACTGACTTGTTTGTTTTGCCTAGTAGCCTTTGCCTGACCTTCAGTGTCTGAGTTTTCTGAATGTGTTCTGATAAACGAGTGGTCCTATCAAGACCAAGTGTTGTTCAGTCATCCTTGAAATGTTAACTTCTTTATAGGGCAACTGAATGGGAACTGATCTATGAGTTGTACCGAAACTCCATATTTGTTTCTGGTACTTGGATATCTGTAGTCAGACGAATGTTTCTTAGAAAGAAACAGCTAGTGGTTATGTGGTTTATTTACTCTTGGAGTATACATTTGTTGGTTTGTCAAACAACAGTAGACAATGGGTTCCACTTGTTGTTTAAAGGCTAGTGATACTACTACTTGGCTGGTCAAACCTTCATTAGTTGAATGGGATTCGAACCTATGACTGCTTGAATCATTGAGTCACATTTAATGTTACTTTATTTATGAAAGGTACAACTTACAGTTTGGTGTTTTGTTTGAACACCTCACAAATAAGTTAGTGCCAATCTGATATCCTCCAAGCTTGGCGATGAGACGTTTACGTTTGTCCACCATCTTTCATTTCTTCCTTACACGATCTCCTCCATGTCTCTCGGACACCCAACTTGTCATTTCCCATTTCGGTTTCACTCCAGGGCCAGGCCTGGAATGTTGTGTCCTCAATCGGTCTTCTCAGTGTATGCTCAATCCACTGCATCTCCACTTTCTTCCAGTGGATATTTGTTGGGTGATAGGTTCTTGGTTGATTGTTTCGTTGCCAGCCAGCAAGAGTTCCTTGTTGTTTATCCTTTCTGGCCAACTCTTCTGATTTTCAGTATGGAGTGGGCGTTGGTGGCAACAGTTGATGAATGTCGTAGTTTGTTGGAAACGCTTTTCATAACGCGCCACGTCTGTCAACTATCACATAGAATCACTGACTTGACTGACTTAGTGTTGAAAATTCGGTTGTTGTTCACGCTTTATGGTGAGTTGAGTACAGTAGATCTCCACACTGGTTTCAGGTTAATGAACCCCTGGGTTGCTTTTCCGATCCGGGTTGGCTTTGACATCCTTATCTGTGCCTGTGCTACCTGTAGGTGAAAGGATGCTGCCTAGGTAGGTGTAGGTGAAGGAGAATACTTCCTTTAGGTTTGTCCCGTTGAGAGTGATTGGTGCTTGTTGTTGTTGTTGGTTGGGTATATTCATCACTTTTATCTTCTCTATGTTCACCTGAAGGAAGTCCCATCTTCGCTGCCTCTTCTGTCAACTTGTTAGTTTTCGCCTGTAGGTTTTCGAGTTTGTGCGATACGATATGAGACATAAGTCATTATTGGGGAAATCTAACTGTTCTAGGGTCTTTGTTTTTTCATTGGTCCAGTTAGCGTATGCCCATTTTCTCGCTCCTCACAGTTGTTTGTTGCAGTCGACCACAATGAAGATGTTCGGTGATAATAGGTGACAACCTTGTCTTACTCCTTCCTGTTTCACTTCAAAGGCGTCACTGAGCTTTCCATTGTGAATCACTTGGCATGTAGCATCATATAGCAGCTGCCAGGTTACTTCTCAGTCGAAGCTATCGAAGGCCTTTTCAAAGTCGATGAAATTGAGGTAAAGATCCCGTTGACTGCTATTATCTGCTCTGTTCTATAATGATGCGTAGCGTTGGAATTTGTTACACACATAACTTGTTTTTCATGTAGTTCCCTTTTATTGATTTCCCAGGTGGTCGAGCTTATGTTCCAATCGAAGATGTTATTCCTCAACTGACTGAGTCGTTAGCAGATGTATCATTAGTGAATGGACATAGTCGATTGATTCCAGCAAATATTTCTGACAATAATCATCAAGAGGCTTGTTCTGGTTCAGATTCTCTAGTAGTTGTTCAACCATCAGGTGATCTAATTCAATCTAGTCATTGGAATATAGCTAATAATCAGATTACTCGAACATGGTATGGTTTAGATCCAAAGATTGGTCAGACAACAGTAGCACATATTAAAGATGGCCGTACTGGTTTACCAACTCAATATACACATGAACATGAAGTCAATTCACTAGATTGATTTTCACACCCTCGCACTCCCTTCTTTGTAATTAAATTGAACTTTATTGTATCATATTCTGATGTATTACTGCTTGTTATACTAATTTTCTTTTGTGAATAAACACAGTGATATCCTACAAAGGTCTTGTCTTTATTTTGTTGTTGTTGTTGTTGTTGACTGGATTCAAACCTATTCAGTTGACAATATAATGTAGAGATCTGCTGTAGTGCAAGATCTTGTTGCATGAAGGTAGGTGACAAAAAGCTGCCAGAGATGTCTATTGAAGGTAAAAGACATGAAGCGATTGTAGGATTTTCATTGTACGTTTTTAGATATCACCATGTGATCAATGTTGAGGTAAGTCGAATGATATTAGGCAAGTCGATTAATGAGTTTGTGAACGTTAGTCGACTGCGATGGCTTGGACATGTACTGCGCATGCCAATCCATCGTTTGCCTCAATGTGATGTGCTTACGGAGGTTGGGTTACGTTGGAAGAGCGTTTAGGGTGACCGTACGAAAATATCGCACCAGCCGATCAAGTCCTTGGTCTGAGGTGTGTAGAAGATATGTAGACTGCGTGGTTGGCGTCTCTGAGACGATAGGAATCAGTTGTTGAGATCTGTTGGTGACATAACTGAATATTCATATCGATTATTGTCTCAGACAATTAAATCTTTGTATACCACCACAGTGAAGTGTGGCAACTTGAACCGATTCACTTGTGTTCGCGTTTGTTACTTACCACGTTTTGGATGACCTTGTGTTCCTAGTGGAACATAGGGCTTTAGTAGCACATAGCCATTTCACTCTCCAACCTGAAGTCCTCATAACCTGGCTCCACGACTACCCACAAGCTTTCATTTCTTCCTCACACCATCTCCTCCATGTCACCCTCAGATGACCAACTCGTCGTTCTCCATTTCGGTTCCACTCAACGACCTGGCCTGGTGCATGATGTCCTCAAACCATCTTCTCCGTCTATGTCTAATCCAATCCATCTCCGCTTTCTTCCACTACATATTTGTTGAGTGATGGGTTCTTGGTTGGTTGTTTCGTTGCCAGCCAGAGTTGTCTCTTGCTTATTCTTATTATTCCTGCCATCTGATCTGATCTTCAGTATGGAGTGGGCGTTGGCGGCAGCTGTTGATGTATGTCTGTACTTTGTTGGAAGTGCTTTTCGTGACGCGCCAAGTTTCTGAACAATGTAGAAGCACTGACTTAGTGTTGAAAAGGACTTACTCGATACTACTTACGAAATCATGATAAGCGTTCTTTTCCTGACCAACAAAATGATGAGTTATGCCATCTCTTGTAATTTTCCGTCGTTGGCTGGATCGGATTGATCAGTCTGTATTAGCGTATGGGCTCCTGAGGTGGAGATGCATGCAGCTGACGAATCGTAAATGGGACGAAACACGCTTTGTGGATTCCACTGTTAGCCATGGTCTATCACATTTGAGTTTTTCAAAAACTTATTTCATAGGAATAAACGTTTTAGTTAGAAGGTGAGGTAGGTAGTAATGAAAACATTAAGAGGTGTGTGTGAATCCCTACTGTGAATCCGTTGAGAGGAGAATAACTGAATTTACAGAACAGGATAAGCCCACTCAGTTGTGAGGTATCTATTCAGCTGCTGATGACCTAAGATTATTGATTATTCGTTTTACGGAAGAAACATGGGAATTGGTTAGGTTTAATGAGATCGGTAGATGATAACACCACAATAATTATTAATTGACAATGGAATAACGCATCACTTCATAAATATTTGAGAAGAAATATTATAGAATATGAACAAATGATGTGGAAAGTTACTTTTTTATCCGGGGATCCACGTTTTGTAAATAGGTTCAAAGGTTGCAGAAACAACAATCCTGTGGTCTGTCTCCACGATATGTTTCACAATCGAGGAGCTTGAATATCTGTCAAGGAGTGGATACATGTGTGCCATTGTGACTGATCGATTGGCAGTCATTTCAGCAAGAGTCAGTCCTCAACCACGGATTCCTATAATCTTGAGAAACCCAACCAAACAGTCTAAATCTCCTGAGATGGCTCAGAGCAACGGTGAGAGACTGATACTGCGTCTTGATTTGACTACCTTTAACCCCTTTCCAACCGAATGCAAGTTTACCTAGCATGACACGTTGATGTTGAGGTAAGCAGTGGATCAGCATGCGCAGTACATGTTGGAACCATCTCATTCGCTGAAGATTCACAATCTCATCGACTGACTTGTTTGTTTTGCCTAGTAGCCTTTGCCTGACCTTCAGTGTCTGAGTTTTCCGAATGTGTTCTGATAAACGAGTGGTCCTATCAAGACCAAGTGTTGTTCAGTCATCCTTGAAATGTTAACTTCTTTATAAGGCAATTGAATGGGAACTGATCTATGAGTTGTACCGAAACTCCATATTTGTTTCTCGTAGTTGGATATCTGTAGTCAGACGAATGTTTCTTAGAGAGATACAGCTAGTTGTTGTGTGGTTTATTTACTCTTGGAGTATACATTTGTTGGTTTGTCAAACAGCAGTAGACAATGGGTTCCACTTGTTGTTTAAAGGCTAGTGATACTACTACTTGGCTGGTCAAACCTTCATTAGTTGAGTGGGATTCGAACCTATGACTGCTTGAATCATTGAGTCACATTTAATGTTACTTTATTTATGAAAGGTACAACTTACAGTTTGGTGTTTTGTTTGAACACCTCACAAATAAGTTAGTGCCAATCTGATATCCTCCAAGCTTGGTGATGAGACGTTTTCTTGAACTATACATACTTCATACAAGTACACAAAGAGCAGTTGGGTAGAAACTGACTGGGATCAAAGTTGTCTGAGAGAAAAAACAATCTGATGATAACGGTTAGTGTGAATATTCAAGCTTTCGAAGGTGTCAAGGAGTGAATTCATCTGCGCCATTGTTACCGACTGATTTTCAGATATGTTACCGAGAGTCAGTCCTTAACCACTGATACCTTTTTATCTCAAGGACCAGAAACAGGTAGTTTACATTTCCACACATGACACAAACCAACCGTTAGGGACTTGGTCGACTGATTCCGCGTCTTGGTTTAACCGGCCACTCTGAACCTTTTTGCATCCTAATCCAACTTGCTCTAACATCACACGTCAAGTTAGGCAGTCGCTCGGCATATGCATCTCATGTCCAAGCTATACCAATCGACCAACCTTCACACCCTCATTAATCCAACTTGTCTAGTATCCTTCTCTTGACCTTAACATGGTGTCTCAGTCCATGTAAGATTAACTATTCAGTTAGCGAAAAACTCCTACAGAACAGTTTGTGTATGTTAGCGCTAACATACTATTCCTGCCTTTGCCTTGAATAACTTCATACTGAAGTTAGTGCTGATGATGTTGTTCAGAGAGACGATGAGAGCTTCACGATTAAACAACCTAGCTCAGGGAATACACTACAACCAAGATAATAAGAATAAGCAAGAGACAACTCTGGCTGGCAACGAAACAACCAACCAAGAACCCATCACTCAACAAATATGTAGTGGAAGAAAGCGGAGATGGATTGGATTAGACATAGACGGAGAAGATGGTTTGAGGACATCATGCACCAGGCCAGGTCGTTGAGTGGAACCGAAATGGAGAACGACGAGTTGGTCATCTGAGGGTGACATGGAGGAGATGGTGTGAGGAAGAAATGAAAGCTTGTGGGTAGTCGTGGAGCCAGGTTATGAGGACTTCAGGTTGGAGAGTGAAATGGCTATGTGCTACTAAAGCCCTATGTTCCACTAGGAACCCAAGGGAGAAAGAATAATAATGGTAGTTTAGAAGTAGTACTCATCGTGGGCTGACATCAGTTGGGGAACCGTTGGAAACCCAAAGGCACTTGATAGCTGCTACGTCTTACTATGGGACTCGTCAGAAGTACGCACCCACTACCCGACTGGGGATCGAACCTAGGACCTCCAGATTTAATAGGGAACGCTTCAACCATCCGACGACTTGGTCAGTGCTCAGTGGTTAACAATTTCCACCTTCTGTCAATTTACGACATAGCGCGACTATCACTCAAGTAGTTATCAGTTCATGATGAATACCGCTCCTAAATTTATAAAAAAGCCCGAAACTCCTCAGCAGTACACCAGTTTGTAATGAATGCCATCTTAAAATAAACAAAATCTCCATGTACTTCAAAGTACATAACGGTTAGGTAATGGTTTACTCCTAACGTTTACGGTCTCCGTCATATACACAACCGATACTACATGGAACTGATTATTCGACTACAGGTGAACAATTTTACCACTTCACCACGAAATTCTGGATTCCTTTTGTCTACAGTTAGTCTACTTTCTAACATTGCTACCATGAGTTGGATTTCTTTGTCTGTAAATTCCTGAGTGGATGGATAGTAACGAAATACATTTAGTCCACGGTTATAATTTTTTTTAACTTTAATTTTCCACCCCTTCTCCCTCCCTTCGTGTCACTTGTTGTCCAATCAAAATGGACCAGGAAACATCCCATGTGATTGGTTGCATGAAATCGAAAAGCACTATGAAAGGGAGCAAACTGACGAGGGGTTACTTTATTTTCATGATGATCGACGATATCGTCCAAAGTGTTGTACCCAAAAACGAATCAATCTTTATTGAGCGTTTTTTTCTCGTCGCGTTGCCGTCCTTAGAGTCTTTAAAGGTCGTCCTAAAGGAGTATGATCTGAAATCATTTCTTTTCACCACAGCCGATCAGCTGAAAACTGTCTTGAATTACTGGATCTCGATGGCACTCATAAGACCAATAATGAAAATTTTTTCTCTACGAGTTCGTAGCGATCGACATCAACTTCATGGCTATTCCCATAGCTTTTGCTTTCATAGGCAGTGGGATATCAGAAGTAATCGGTTCATTTCTGAGGTTTTTAAAGATTATTATTGGAAGCCACAGAGTGGGTGCTTTCATAACAGATGACCGTCCTGCAATTTCGTCTGCATTATGCCAAGTTTTTCGGCACTCACATCACCTCCCGTATCGTGTGCACATCATGAGCAACGTGGTCAAAAGGGTAAGCATGTGTACCAAATTATAGCGAAAATTTCATTGTTTGTACAGATTACAGCAGGAGGTACTTCAGTAATTCTTCCTAGTGTTGTAC